ATCAGAAGACACATCCATCGATTACAACCCCCTGTGAGTGGTAGGGTGCCTCTGGGGCTAGGGGTGCCCCTGGGGGTGTGGGGCAGCTCCAACCCTGCCCCTGACGCTCCTGTCCCTCTCTAGGTATAAGGAGCGGCACCAAGTGCAGCTGCTGGGCCGGGGTTTCATCGCAGGGATTGACCTGAAGCAGCAGAAACGGGAACAGTCACGCTTCTACGGGGACCTGATGGAGAAGAGGCGAACGCTGGAGGAGAAGGAGCAGGAGGAGTGAGTGCGCTTGTGGGGAGCTGGGAGGGTGCTGAGGGGTGTCCGGGGTCTTGGGTGGCTCTGGCCAGGATGCTGAGCTGGGGGCCAGCTCTGGGCTGCAGCACATCCTTTGGATGGGTGGCGGGATGATTCCGGCCTCCTCAGAAGCACAGGGTGAACCTTGTCCACTTCACAGAATGGTCAGGGTTGGAAGGGATCTCTGGAGATCATCTAGTCCACCCCCCCTGCCAGAGCAGGGTCACCTACAGCAGGTTGCACAGGTCGGCGACCAGGCAGGTTTGGAATGTCTCCAGTGTGGGAGACTCCCCCACCTCTCTGGGCAGCCTGTGCCACTGCTCTGCCACCCTCACAGCAGAGAAGTTCCTCCTCATCTTTAGGTGGAACTTCCTATGTTCAAGTTTGTGCTCATTCCGTCTTGTCCTGTCACTGGGCACCACTGAAAAAAGACTGTTCCCATCCCCCTGGTACCCTCCCTTTAAGTATTTATAAGCATTAATAAGATCCACCCTCAGTCTTCTTTTCTCTAGATGAAAAAGACCCAAGTCCCTCAGCCTTTCCTCCTAAGAGAGATGCTCCAGTCCCCTCATCATCTCCGTAGCCCTTTGTTGGACCCTGTCCTTCTTGACCCAGGGAGCCCAAAAAAAAGCCACACTCTTCTTGATGCACCCCAGGATGCCATTGGCCTTCTTGTCCGCCAGGGCACATTGCTGGCTCACGGGCATCCTGTTGTCCACCAGGACTCCCAGGTCCCTTTCCATAAAGCTGCTCTCCAGCAGGCCAGCCTGTAATCTGTACTGATGCATGGGGTTATTCCTCCCCAGATGCAGTACCCCACACTTGCCCTTGTTGAATGGCATAAGGTTCCTCTCCGCCCAACTCTCCAGCCTGTCCAGGTCACGCTGTATGGTGGCACAGCCTTCCGGTGTGTCAGCCACCCCTCCCAGTGTTGTGTCATCAGCAAACTTGCTGAGGGTACACTTCATCCCTTCATCCAGGTCATTGATGAATATATTGAACAGGACTGGACCCAGTACTGACCCCTGAGGGACACCACTTGTTACTGACCTCCAACTAGACCCTGCACCACTAACCACAACCCTGTGAGCTCTGTCTTCCTCGCCCCTCACCCAGGGCTCGTCTGCGGAAGCTGCGGAAGAAGGAGGCCAAGCAGCGCTGGGACGACCGGCATTGGTCCCAGAAGAAGCTGGACGAGATGACAGACAGGGACTGGCGCATTTTCCGTGAAGACTACAGCATCACCACCAAGGGGGGCAAGATTCCCAACCCCATCCGCTCCTGGAAGGATTCCTCCCTGCCCCCCCACATCCTGGAAGTCATTGATAAGTGCGGCTACAAAGTGAGCACGGGGAGTGGGGGCTGCTGCCAGCAGACCCTGATGGCCCTTAGGGGAGCTGGGTGGAGGGAAGAAGGGCTGGCTCTTGGGATCAGGTCTTTGAGGGGGGTGAGGAGGGGAAGTTCTGCTCCTAAATCTGCTGCTCCCCTCGCCAGGAGCCCACCCCCATCCAGCGCCAGGCCATCCCCATCGGCCTGCAGAACCGCGACATCATCGGCGTGGCCGAGACCGGCAGTGGCAAGACTGCTGCTTTCCTCATCCCACTACTGGTGTGGATCACCACCCTGCCCAAGATAGATCGGTAGGTGGGACAGGGCAGGACAGTGGGGTGATATTGCAGAGAGGGACGAGTGTGACACTGTGGGTGACATGGCCATGCTCTGCCACGCTACAGGATTGAGGAGTCGGACCAGGGTCCCTACGCCATCATCTTGGCCCCCACCCGAGAGCTGGCTCAGCAGATTGAGGAGGAAACCATCAAGTTTGGGAAGCCTTTGGGCATCCGTACAGTGGCTGTGATCGGAGGCATCTCCCGTGAGGACCAAGGCTTCCGCCTTCGCATGGGCTGCGAGGTGAGTGTTAGCCCCTGGGGAGGGCGGCAAGGGAACCTAGGGGAAGCAGTTTAGCCCCAGGCTGTGGACACCAGCCTTTCTGGCTACCCCCCAGATCGTCATCGCCACGCCAGGGCGTCTCATCGATGTGCTGGAGAACCGGTACCTGGTGTTGAGCCGCTGCACCTACGTGGTGCTGGATGAGGCAGATCGCATGATCGACATGGGCTTCGAGCCCGATGTGCAGAAGATCCTGGAGCACATGCCCGTCACCAACCAAAAACCCGACACTGACGAGGCTGAAGACCCCGAGAAGATGTTGGCCAACTTTGAGTCAGGAAAGCACAAGTACAGACAGGTGGGTACAAGCAGGAGACCCACGATACCGTTGTGGGTGCTCCCATAGGGCTGAGCATGGTCCACAGGGTGAAGAGGGGACAACCTGGGGCTTTGGAGAAAGGGAAAAAAAAATTCCTGCTCCACAGAGGACATCGCTCACTGCCCTGTTCTCTTGCAGACCGTCATGTTCACAGCCACCATGCCACCAGCGGTAGAGCGCCTGGCCCGCAGCTACCTACGTCGTCCAGCTGTGGTTTACATCGGCTCTGCTGGCAAACCCCATGAGCGGGTGGAGCAGAAGGTCTTCCTCATGTCGGAGTCAGAGAAGAGGTGCAGAGGGGGCCCTGGGGGTGGGATGGAGGGTAGAGGACAGGTCTTGGAGGTGGTCTGGGGCGTTTGAAGGTGAGGGAGCTTTGGGAGGTGGACTTTGGAGAACAGAGGAGCTCCTGCAGGGCGCTTCAGCGTCTCCTTGCCCAACTGTCCTCCTCCCCAACAGGAAGAAGCTGTTAGCCATCCTCGAACAGGGCTTTGACCCACCCATCATCATCTTCGTCAACCAGAAGAAGGGCTGTGACGTGCTGGCAAAGTCCCTGGAGAAGATGGGGGTGAGTCTAGGCTGGGCCAGAGCCCCTCCACTTTGGCTGTGGGGGGTGGGGATCATCCTGAGCTCCTACACCCCCATCCCTGCATGGGGACCCCACAACATGGCTCCGGGCACCGTCAGCCCCCAGCTAACTCTCCCTCATCCCGCAGTACAACGCCTGCACCCTGCACGGTGGCAAAGGCCAGGAGCAGCGGGAGTTTGCCCTCTCCAACCTGAAGGCTGGGGCCAAGGACATCCTGGTGGCCACGGATGTGGCCGGACGTGGTATCGACATCCACGACGTCTCCATGGTCGTCAACTATGACATGGCCAAGAACATTGAGGGTGAGTCAGGGCCGGCCTGGGGGGCTACGGGGTATGGCAGGGGCTGCCTGGCCCTGGCGCTGCCTGCGATGAGGCCCTGCCTGACCCCACCGCCCCCCTGCAGATTACATCCACCGCATCGGGCGGACAGGCCGAGCAGGGGAGAGCGGTGTAGCCCTCACCTTCCTCACCAAGGAAGACTCCACCGTCTTCTACGACCTGAAGCAGGCCATCCTGGAGAGCCCAGTGTCCTCCTGCCCACCCGAGCTGGCCAACCACCCCGATGCCCAGCACAAGCCTGGCACCATCCTCACCAAAAAGCGGCGGGAGGAAACCATCTTTGCCTGAGTCCCTGGAGCTGGTGTCCCCCTCTCCATCACCCCTTCAGGGATGACAGGTCCAGCAGGGCCGGGGGCTGCTGGGACTTTTCTGGCCACTCTTTTCCCAGACCCCCAGATCCCTGTGCAGCTGGGACTGCCACCAACAGAGGCTGGGGCCGCAACTGTCCTAAAATGTTCCCCCTGTTCTCCCAGTTGCCATCCCCACCTCCCCCACGGATCAGTGGAGCTGCCAGAGGCTGTTTGGGGGCAGGTTTCTCCCTGTCTGCCTGCTGCTGGTGCTGGGGCAGGGCTGGTGCTGGGCTGCACGTGCTGGTTTTTAGGCAGGGCTGTCCCAGGAGCTGTGGTCACTTCAACCCTTTTCTAGCTGAAACTCCAGGCTGCAGGAATAAATCTGCAGCTGCATTGCTGGATGTTGCCTTGTCCTGTTCCTTCCTGCAGTGCCGCCAGCCCTTGTGTGCCATCTCCCTGCACCCTCCAGCCCTCCCAGAGGTTCCAGGAGCCAGCAGTGCCCCTAAAGGGAGAGCCTTTGGGTGCTCAGCACACACCAGCCCTTTCCCCCTGCGTGGTCCTGAGTTTAATGTCCGCGTGCCGTGGTGTCCCCTGTACCCCCAGCTGCCAGAGACACAGACACTGCCACCTCCGAGCACTCTTGTGTTTCTCAAACCAGTTACAGGGAAATCAGTGCTTTCTACAAAAGAAATTATAACAAATCTGTGGCCCCCACCCATTGCCCTTGGGCTGGCTCCCTGCGAAGGGCCCCAGCGGGAGTTTAGCCCAGCACCAGGACCCTCTGCCGAGCAGCCCCTGGCAAAGGGCAGTGGGCACTGTATTTACAGGTCTGTGCGGTGACGTGCGGTGACAGCTACGCGGGGAGTGGGGAGGGGGGGACGGGGCAGAGAGGGCGACTGGGGCAGGGAGAAATCAGTGCAGAGCGAAGCGGCTGGTGTGGCCCCCTCCTGCCGGGGGTCCCATGCAGGGGTGGGGGGGTGAGGGGAGCGGGCACCTTCTCCTTCTTCCTTGGGCCTGCGCAGGATGGGGGGCACTGCTAAAATTGTCATTGTTGATGTATCCCCCCCATTAGCTGGCCCACAGGTCTTTTGGGGGGAGGCACCGTCTTGTTTTTGGCAGGGAATGAGACAGCCTACGATGCAGAGGCCAGGCTGGGAAACTGAGGCAGGGAGAAG